AGTGAAATAAATTCTGGTAAACTATAGATGCGTTTTCTTAATTTTTTATTTTTATTTGCAGTTGATATATTTTTATTTATAATTTAAGAAATATTATTCCATTTTTATTTTATTTTTTATTTTAAAGAATTCACAAGAAAATAGTAAAAAAGTTGTATTTTGGTAATTATAAGTAAATATATATGAATTAAAAATGAAAACAAGAAATAATGTTGTCTTGATTATTTCCTTTGCAAATTCTTAAAAACGGAAAACAAGGTCAAATATTTCCAAAAAAGTAAACAAGATCAAAACAACATACATGTATTTTTTTTTACAACTATTAGTAGAATTATATTAACTGAAAATGAAAACAACGAACAAATCAAACTTACCTAAAATTTGCAACTGAAAATCCAAATAGAAATATAAGGCACCAAGAATCAAAAATAAAAGAAAGTACAGGGCATCAGCAGCTTCGAATTAAATATGGGAAGAATTTTCAACATATAATTAAGGATAACACTCCAAGGCTCATAATTTAAGGAGTATTAAGAAATTTAATTACCTGATTGAAAACAGAATTTTGCCTGCCCCATATTTCTAATCTCTATTCCAGCTAACTGAACCTCCTAAACCACATCTATCAAATTACTTACATGTTGGAAAACACTCAGTATGTATTTGGTAGCAATTATTTAATTATGTGATAGTATTAATTTATACTGACGTAAGAATAATAAGTCTTACATCAAATTTTAATTGTCGATTTTTGTATATCTAATAGTTATGATTTACTGAAAATTAATAATTATTTAATGAGTATGACTCAATAAATCATAATTATTAAATTGACATAAATCAATAATTAAGTTTTAATGTATGACTTATTGTTACTAGATTAATATAAATTCATCTGCACCTTTAATTATTATTTACAACTTCCCAAGAAGAGATTGCAAAAGGAAGCATTTAGCCAAAGAAATAGTAAAATAAACGATAATAGAAATAGGAGTCGGTGAAGTACATCCTGGGAAATATCTCAAGAATCGCTGTCTATTTTCTCTTTTTAATTTTCAATGTGGGTGCCGGAGAACTTTTAAGGGGATTGTTCTGTCCTTGAGACAGAGATGTCTAGCCCAATTAGGCTAGTACGTTAATGTTGGATCTGGTGCCCTCTCTAAGGTATCTATGAAGGAGATACCCTTGAGTCAAACAGATCACTGTGCACAGAATACTATAACGCCGTTAGCCAATGGGATGTGTGTGTGCGCACAGTGACAGCATAACAATAAGAGAGAGAGAATGTGTGTACCTTTAGGGTTTGCCTTTGTATTTATAGAGGTTACCTGTAGGTAGTGTGGATGGGCCTTTGGTTCCTACGGTGAGGGTCCAGGCCTGATAGCTATGCTTAGGGGTGTAAATGGGATAGGCTGGCCCAGCCCAGTCTACGGCTCAGCCTACATTGAGCCCAGCCCAGGCCCGGCCTTTCAGGAAAGTAGAGTAGGCTTAGACTTATAAAAAACTTTTTTAATAAATAGGCCATAGGCCAATTTTGTCAAGCCTGGCCTACAGCCTTATAGGCTGGCCTATTTAATTTATTAAAATAAAATAATATTTATTTTATGTGGCAAAGACATAAAGTACCAAATACCAATATCTCTTACTTTCTGTGCTATTTTATTTTATGAAAGGAAAACTTGTCTAATGTCTCCAAATTTTACATGTTGTTGCAGCTTAATACCATGGAGCAATGGGTACCTTGCTGAATTATGATGTTACTGATGAAGATCTTTCAATAATAATCTTCTTTCCCTTGTCTTGATGGTGGTTTAAAGATTTTTAGATGAATGACATTCTCTTGTAGACTTTATTTCAGCATCCAGTAATTGTATTTTTCTTATTTTTCCCATTTCCTTGACTCTATTCCTCTATGATATACATTCTAGAGCTGAGGTATTATGTTGACTCTTTCTTGTTTGTCATTTTTTTCTTATGAGAAATACTAGTGAATTCATGAATGAAACTTTCTTTGCTCTATACAATTATTATTTTTGCTTAGTATATATAGTGAGAGGCCTACAAGGCCTGTAGGCCATGTCAGGCTTTTGTATTTTTGAAAATGGGCCGGGCTTGGCCTACAAATAAAGCCTTTAATAGGCCAGTAAGCCAGATAGGCTAATTTTTTTAGACGTAGGCTTGGGCCAAGATGGCCAAAGCCCATCCCAGCCCAGCCCATTTACACCCCTAGCTATGCTGTCGCATTAGGATTAGTATCCTTGATGGATATCTATCATTTATTAGCATCAATCCATATCTTGGATTGTCCCTTGTTGGGCTTGCTACTTAATGGGCCCATTATACGGGTCCATAATAGGGATGAAATTATAATGTAATTTTTTTAAAAAATATAATTATTGATATGATAATAAAAAAATAAAAATGATTCTTGTAATTAAGGATTTTTATAAATTATAAAGGGGCAACCAATACAAAATAGAAATAATACTTACTTTTAAAGGTTTATATAAATTTAAAGGGACGAACACCCTATTAGTCCTTTTCACGTTTGACCACTACTAACTTCCCACTCCTTTTAGTTGGAAATCAATAATTTATACAGAATAAAAATCATAAATGAAAAGAGAGAGAGACACAATGATTTATAATAGTTCATTCAATATAGACTACGTCCAGCTTATTTGTATTATATTCACCTCACCGCCACTCGTTACAAATCACTCGATTTACAAAGAGAATATAAATATAATTAAAAAACCCTAACAATAGTTATATACAGGCCCAAGCCTAAACTACTAAGAAAAAGAAAAAAATTACAATAAATCAGAGGCCCATAACAGTACTTGGCCTCTACAGGACCGCAGTTGCATTTCTGCTAACCCCAACAATAAGGGTCCTCAACAACATGCAAAGTATGAGCCATATCCAACATTTTTCTTCCAAACTCCATAAGACTAGTATTTGTACATGGTTAGTATTTTGCTCTACAAATAAATCTAGTTAATCTTATCAATACACAAAATATTTTATCATTCATATTTAGATCTATAATTGTTTACATCCGCATGCATTTTCTTTGCATTTTCTTGCAAGTTATTATGTATGCTATGCTCTATTCTCCCCACTCAATCTATATATAAAACAATTTAAGAGGATTGGTTCTTAATATCTTATCATAGTCACTTTCACCATGACAAGTGGTCAGGGGTTAAGATCATTTCCATCTCAATTAATAATAATTCAGTTAAACTTTGTGTATTATATATTCTTTAAGTTGAAAAGGCTCTTGTTTAAGTAAATGTCTTAAGGTCTGACTATTGAACCTCTATTTAACAACTTAAGGTTTTAGGATATTTACTTCTCCTACACATCCGTTTAGTTTTTTCAAATTCTTGGTTCATTTAAGGGAAAAGTTCACCAATGCCCATGTGGTTTACTTCAGAGTCACTTATGTCGGGACAGTGACCAATGTGCCACGTTTTGGCAAACAAATTACCAGAATGCCACGCGAACAGTAAAATTTTCCAAACTGCCACGCGTGATAATTCTCTACACAGTGCAGCGAATTACGTTTGCAAATAATTCGCTGCACTATGTAGCGAATTATGCTAGGTCAGATTGCCCCGTCAGCAAGAATGCCACGTGTCAATCCTGGCGTAATTCGCTGGGGTATGTAGCGAATTATTCCTAACGAAAACCTGCTGCACAGCAACATGCTGGACACGTGTCAATCATGCACAAGTTCGCTACACACCCCAGCGAACTTGCTTCAAAATTTTTCTATAAATCCCCTCCGCCCCCCCCCCCCACCCCTTCCCCACCTCTCCAACCTCACTCCTTCTCTCTCTAAGTGTGGTCTCTCTCTCTCTCTAAAGGTTAGTTTTGTTTTTTCTTTAGTTTTTTTTGTTTTAAAATTTTATTTAAGTTATTATTTAATGTTTAGTAGTAGTTAATGTAGTTATTTGGGTTAGTGTTTTTGTTTGTTTGGTTTTTGTTGTTTTAATATTTTATTTAATTTATTATTTAATGCATTATTTAATGTTTAATAGTAGTTAGTATAGATTTTTGAAACATTAGGTTAGTTAATGTAGTTATTTGGGTTAGTTTTGGTTGAATCCATTTTATTTAATGTATTATTTAATGTTTAATATTAGTTAGTGTAGATTTTTGAAACATTAGGTTAGTTAATGTAGATATTTCAAACATTAGGTTAGTTAAAGTATTATTTAAGGTTCATTCTCTTTCATATAAAGTTAAGTTATTTTAGTTTTATATTTATGCTATTAAAAATTTTCCTATAATCTGAATTGTTTTTTATCTACGGAAATGTTCATTCTCTTAAAAATTTCCCTATAAATTTAATTTTATAATTATGCTTTAATAATTTTGTAATATAATTTAGTGTTAATATAATTTATTTTCTTTTTTGATTAGGCTTTAATAATTTTATAATATTAGTTAGTGTTGATTTTTTAAATGTTAGGTCATAAATTTGTTAATTTATTTAAAGCATAAACATCAATTAGTTGTAAACTATTCAATTGTTTTTTTTTGTATTTATTTAGGGTTATATTAATGTATTTTTAGTTTTTGATTATAATTTGGGTTAATAATTTATGTTAATAGTGTACATAATTATAACATTTACGTAAGTCATAAATAAATAATTGTTTTCATTGTTGTGCATTATAATTGTGCAATTATATAATTTTGCGTTCTGTCAGTTTAAATTATCGCTAATATGCTGATTTTATGCTTGTAATTAGATCTATGGAGCATGATGATGCAACTCGTCCTGGGTCACCACGCAGCGTGATTGACCCTGGGCCGGAGGTTAATACTCTCCTGACTTTGCAGGACAGACATATTTCCACACATGTGTGGAACACCTGTGAAGATCCGAATGTCAATGATCGTGTAATTAATGTGCGCCATGCTGCGACCCATAATCACCTTGACATTCCCGAGGAGATTCAGCCATGGCTGATGCAGGCTGGGTTCTACCATGTTGCTCGCTTACGCAACCATGAGGTTAGTATATTTGTATGAATAACTATGTAATCACCATAGAATGGTGGTATGAAATCCTCGTTACCAATTGGATACCATTGCGGCGAATAAATTTCACATTGATTCTTCTCACTGTAGGCAGGGTCTATGTACTGTGTGGGATCGTGATGCATGGATCTACATGCCGCAATGACATGGCTACACGGGAACCTAAACGCAGTGAACTCACCACACTGGCATGTACGATCAGATAGCGATACTGACCATTTTTTACCCCCACGATGAGCACGTACATTATATGACTCCTGCACTTCAAATCTTGTCTTTTTCACGTCGTAAGAAGTTACATTATGTGTTGCGTCCTTTCGTTGATTTTCCACATATTTTTGCCACACAACTTTGGCAAAGCGATTACCTCTTTCCATCTCCTCACGTGCTTCCTGTCCGTGCTCCAAAAAATACGCCACCAGTCTACTGTACGTTATACGCACAAGTGAGGTAATTGGAAGGTTTCGTGCACCTTTGAGAACTTTATTAACACACTCTGACAGGTTTGTTGTCATGTGGCCAAATCGTCTTCCTTGTTCATCGTAGGAGATACTCCACTTCTCTTTAGGTATGCGATCAATCCAGGCAGCTATTTGCGGGCTTGTTTCTTTAAATTTTTCAAAACCAGCATCAAAGTCCAAACGCGAAGTTGTATTGCCTACACATCGCACACCAATATTAAAAACATCCCATTATATGAATCAAATAATTTAAAAACATACCTAACTTCTTCAACTGCTTCTTCAACATAACATTCTTGAATTTGTGATTAAAATTACTGCCCACGTGGCGAAAGCAATAAACATGATATGCCTGTGGTGGGGCCCATCCGAGAGCAACATTGTTTACCGCAGACAGGATTCCCGGATGTCGATCAGAAATGAGACATATTCCATGCTTTTGTGTCACATGCATTCGAATAAGAGCTAAGAACCAAGACCAGTTATCAGTATTCTCGGCTGAAACGATAGCGAATGCAATTGGAAGAATGTAATTGTTGCCGTCTACTACTGTCGCAATCATGAGGGTTCCCCGATACTTGCCATAAAGATGAGTGCCATCAATGAGGATAATTGGCTTGCAATAATTGAAGGCCTCACAACACTGTTTAAATGTCCAAAACACCCTTTTGAAGACCTTGTGAGATTGGTCTAGGCATCCAGCAATGAAATGGTCACTCAAATCAAGCTTATAGGCGGATCCTGGTGAAAAACGTAACATGTAATCCAACCACCGGGTAGGAATGCGTACAACTCATCCCAGTCACCGTATACTTTTACAATAGCCTTTTGCTTTGCCTTCCATGCCTTCCTATATGATATATGGAATCCAAGGATCGTAGCTATCCTTTCTTGGATTAGCGCAATCTTGACACTAGGCTCCTCTCTTATCATTTCTGCATATGGTGAAGCAAGAATGTATTAGTCAACTGTAACATCTCTTGTTAAAAATTGAAACATTAAGTTGTACGCACCTAAGATCAATGAACAAATCAGATTTGAGTCCAACTGCTGGTGATCCTGGGTAAGACTCTGACTTACACATGTATGTTCGTTGTTCCATATGCCTATAACCCATTCACTGCCACCCTTTTTTTGGTATGCTCTCATCCTCCATGGACAACCGGCGTTATGATTTTGACAAACCATTATCAACCTTTTCTTATCACTTTTCTCTACGACTGCTGTGCGATTATTTTCCATACAATATTGTTTAATTGCCATTTGTACATCATGTTTGGTGTCGAACAATTGGTCCTTATATAGCTCGTGGCCCATCTGCCAGTTAGGTATTTGTGCTCCATGCATATCTTCCAATTCTTAATCTGGATATTCCCAATTAACATTCGTGAAATGGCTGATTCCATCCCAAAATGGTACATTATCATTTCCTATACAATAACATATCCAAAACCCCAAAATCATATAATTTGTTTATATGACATAACATAAACCACTAACACGGTTATTAATGGTTACATACCTGCAACTGGAAGGTCTTGCATTCCTACAATGCCAGACGATGGAATTGGTAGACCAACTACAGTGGATGGACAACAATCAAAATCACCATCGACATCTGTATCCGATGACTCACTGTCCAGAACAAGACCCTCATTAACCTCTTCCTCGGAACTATCGGTACACCATGATGGATCGTACATGTCGTGGACCGGCAAGCTTTCATCAAACAATTGTTGAGTTTGTGGTGCAAGCGAGGGGGACGCGTCCTCATCTTTCGGATTAACCACTGGCACCATGTTTATGTAGATGATGTCAGTGGATGGTGGAGAAAGTTGACTGCTTGATTGTCCACCATAGTTGACTTCTGCATAAAATTCAATAAATTTTGACTCGCCGTGTTCTGAAGTGCTTGCATCTACTACTAACGTTACATCGTCATCTTCAACAATTTCGACGCCAACCCATTGCACGGGGTTACCGAAGGCACACCTAGCGGTCAATCGAGCAAGAGTTTGACCACGTTGTAATCTCTACTTCTTGTAGATTATCTTCTTAAGCTCGTGAAGATTGCATGTTGGGCTCATGCGAAACATTTTTGCATCACCTTCAAAAACTTGCCCGTTTGGTCCAAAATATCTTCTCCCATTATAATAAACTGTGGCGATTACATCATTCCTACCTCACTCATCTTACAAAAGTAGAAAATAAACTAACATTCACAAAAGATAACACAAAAGTAGTAATGTTTGTATATAAATGGCAAATTTTCGCACTCAGAGTCCGTTCCTGAAATGGAATTGAGTTGATTTATAGTAACAAAGTTCGCTACATGGGGTGCCACTTTATGCAACATAATCCGCTATGCCCCCCAGCGAATTACTAGGGGGCTGACACCTGTCCATTATCAGTCAGAACGGTCCCTAATTCGCTATGATTCATGGAAAAATACGTACATAATTTGCTAGGCAGTACAACGAATTTTGGGGGTATTGACACGTGTCCTGACAATGACTGGACAAGACTGGCAATCTGACATGTAATTCGCTGTAAGGTATAGCGAATTATGGGAGTTGTGACACGTGTCCAACAAGAGACTGCCATGACTGACTCCTGGTCAACTTAATTCGCTACATACCCCAGCGAATTACGCCAGGATTGACACGTGGCATTCTTGCTGACGGGGCAATCTGACCTAGCATAATTCGCTACACAGTGCAGCAAATTATTTGCAAACGTAATTCGCTGCACTGTGTAGCGAATTATCACGCGTGGCAGTTTGGGAAATTTTACTGTTCGCGTGGCATTCTGGTAATTTGTTTGCCAAAACGTGACACATTGGTCACTGTACCACTTATGTCCCTGTGATTTTTTTCTTATCACATATGCCCCTGTGGTTTGTAAAAGAGTATGTTTTTTATCACATATACCCCATGTGATTTCTTATTTTTTACAAAGCATAGGGGTATATGTGATAAGAAAAAAAACCACAGGAGCATAAATGATTATGAAGCAAACCACGTGAACTTTTCCCTTCATTTAAAGCAAATTTTGCAAAACAAACATCTGAATTGTACAAAAAGTTGCTGTTTCGTGGGCCAAAGATACGAAAAGCAAGTTTTGCAAAACAAATATCTAATTGTGGATCAGCAACACCATCATTAATAATAAAAGTAAATAAATTTTGTATCCTCAACAAAACTTAAGGAATTCATTTTAATTTCTTTAAAAAAAATCAATTTGTGATCCATCTGAAATTTAAAATAGACTTAATTGATCAAAATTGTAGTGTCTCTAAAATTCAAAGAAGATCCAAGTTAGTCTCTCAAAATGATTAATATGAGTTTATTTTGAATTTCGGAGAAATCACAAATCGACTTTTTTTTTCTAAGTGATTAAATTGGGCCCCATAATATTTGTCGATGACCCAAAATGTACTTTATTTACTCTAATAATAATAATGAAATACAGCCATGCCTCCAAAAGAAAAAAATTAAGAGAAACACAGGATGCATGGAAACAAACTTGCCAAGACAAAATCAGCAAAAGAAGTGGAATCATTTGCCTGTATTTCTTGTGCCAAACATTTTCAACCAGTGTATTTGTTGGTGGTATGAAGATTTTAGACAAACACACGCTACAAAAAAGCACCCATGCCTGGAGAGGTCTAAAGACTAAAAGCAACACACTAGACAACAAAAAGGAATGAATAAAGTAACAAAACAGATCAATTGTTAACAAAAATACCTTCACAATTTTGACATCATTCAATTTATTTCCCGTGACACTATATTCATATATTATATGTGTAACTACTTGTGCACTTGTAGACAAGTATATATGTACACGAATGAAAATATTTGAGTTGATGGAAATAAAGTGGCAGAATAATTTAATCCCAAATTAATTACACAAATCTTATATTGAATGAAACTCAATTATAATTCATGAAATATCTTGGCATAATTATGTGTTCCGAAATAATAATTAAGTACATTTAAATAAATGGCTTTAAATTATTATTTTGTAAATAAAATACATTTATATTAATAGGGCATGTTACGTTTACATTTTTTTATATAATTTTTACGACCTCAACTATATATTCTGCGGATAAAAATAAGGGATATGTTTTTTTCATGTTTCATGAGACAAATTGTCCACTCACTTTTTTTTTCTTTTTTTCTTCTTAATGGGTTCACTTACTTTTTCGTGTGTTGTATGAGACAATTTGTTTCGTGCAACATGAGAAAAACATTTCCCAGTTATAAATAAAAAAGGAGGAAGATTATATTTACCAACTTTAAGTTTGTAGATCTCCATTCTTAGATTTATCAAGATTTAAAAGTTGTTGTCGGACTTGGGCATTCTGTGGCATTTGGTGCATATAGCATCAGTCCGGGAGAGTGTTTCTGATATAATTTAATTTTATCCGTGTTGGTGTTGGGAAGATAAAATTTCTTGTTAGATGGGTTGAAGATGGAGCAAGATTAGTCTGATTAGTGCATGAGATCCATCACTAATCATCCAAGTTTTACAAGGAAATTAAGTCATCACATGCAGTTGGAAATAAAGAGAACCTGTAAATGGTTTAACTGTCCCTTGAAAACGGAGCTTATCTCTTTCCCTGCTTGTTTATGTCACCAAGAAAACATGGGGAAGAGATATTAAAAAAAGTGAGAAATTAATAAATATAAAATCCAAAGAATTAAAATATAAAATTATACCCTGCACGTAAAAACTATCAGAACTAGCTGGCTTGAAATGGGGATTCCCTTCTCTCGTGTAAAGTAAACCACTCGTTGCTTGCTGGCTTTAAGAATCGGTAATCAGAGGAAAGGATCTAGGCTTTCGTCATATCTCCCATGAAAATGTGTGGGGACGTCTAATGGGAGAATTACGCGCGAATGCTTTTGTGTAAGTACGTCTACGAATGTTTTTGTCTAGGTATAATTTTATAGATTTTATATTTCTAATTTCTCATTTTTTTTAATATCCTTAAGAATTAATATTGCAACAGCGATATGCTTGACATTACGAATTTTTTGACAATAGGAGGGAACTTGAACTAATCGGTATAAGAACCCAGAATTACCATGGAATTATAAGAGAAGAACCCGTATGACCCAAAACTTTGCAAGTACATAGGATTAATTGGTCAAATTTCTCTTTTATTAATCATATTTAGATCCAAAAAGGCAAAAACTCAAACTGATTGTATAATTAAATTTCTCTAATCTTCTAGTTCTAATACAACAATTTTTATTTGTTATTTTCATAATCAAAAGACATTGTTTAATGTACCTCACATTTTGTGCCTTTATAACTAAATAATTTAATTTGCTTTCGTATAATTGCTTTACAATGCTAAAGTTGACAAAGTATTACAAATTATTTTTATAATTCTTACTATCACCAATACTTTTTTAATATTTGATATACAAATACAAGTCGTTGAGTACAGTCATTTACAGGGATTAATTAGGTTATTTTAAATTTTTTTATAATCCATACGACTAACAAACAATTTTTTGTTAATTTTTTTCTTATTTCTATAATAGCGTAATTTTTTCTTCTACAAGACAGGAATCCTCCCTTGTCGATTTCGATTACTAATATGCCATTTTTGGTTCTTCGTCAGTAATCGTCTCGTCACGTTGAGCTTGCCTTTTTTGCTGTATATTCTTTAATTTTATCAAATTGGCGTCTTTTCATTTTTATTTTTATTTTTATTCAACAATCAATAACCTTAAAATTTGTATAAAGATTATAACGTATTTATATTATTATCGTTGACCTAAATTTATAAAAATTATATAAATTTAATGGTTACATGTAAAAAGCTGTAGACACATTCTCTTCATGTTGTATATAGCATTATTTTATTTTACCTCTGACGTATATAGGTAACTAATCATTCGAATGCTATAAATCTCTCTAAACAATTACTTTACCTAAGGTTTTATCAAAAAATTAAAACCAAAGTCAAACTAAATAGGGGTCAATTTGTCATATTTGTAAAAATATTAGTCAAACAAAAACTGAAACTTAAAATTGGCCAAATTTAGTTTGGTATTGGCACACGCGCTCATCACATGCAGAATTTTTCATCCCACACAACAATCAATTCAATTCGCATTCCTGTTCTGTTGCCAAGATCTTTGGCCACTTCACTCACTACCCCCTCATTTGAAGTCATAAGCCTTTTAGGTGTTCATCATGACAAAAATCAGTATAACATTTAAAATATCAAGAGTTACCTCATAAGAAAATTGCTAAAATAAATAAATAAAGTTATTCCTAATTTTGCACTACACAGTCCAGTCTACATGCATAGTAGTTGCGGTTTATGAAGGGTATACTAAATGAGCACAAACTAGAGGACGCAACAATGCTGTCATAAACAAATGCGTTTAGGAGGCGTAGTTTTTTATTGGCAAAATTGTTGTCCGCTTGCACTTTTTCTAATGGTATGTAGGGTTGGGATCTCACATGTCTTTTTCCTTTACTATTATTACATTTCTAGATTTAAAATTGAATTTATAACTTTTATCAAATTTGGATTTTACCTTTTCATAGGTTGTTATAATCATATCTACAAGGATGAGCTGAATCCATTTGAACTACTCTTGGAAGAAAATGCTATGCTTGGCATTGTTGAAACGGGGAGATCTGTCGACTGACGAGAGAAGTACATAGAAAAAAAAAATCTGATACTGATTAGTTCTAATTTTTCCCCCTCATCAAAAAAATTCATAATATTCGAGCTAGGATAAAATTGAATTTAAATCTAAGTTTG